CTCTCTCACTCTCTCACTCTCTTACTCTCTCACTCTCTCACTCTCTCACTCTCTCTCTTGAATTAACATACAGTTGGGTGTTCCAACTTCCACTCACTGGGACAAGTCGGAATGACGTTGTTAGTCATCCATAAACTAACTGGTGCCCAATAAAATTATTAATTTGTCGAATGAAATTATCATCAAGAGGATTTTCTTGAGCCCCGGTAGACTTTGACCCAAAACCGCACCAGGTGTAGAGCTTTAACCCACTAATCTATCCCAGCCAAATTTGGATTAATATTGTCAAATAAGGAAGATTACGATTCCTGTGACGGCGCTATTTGACATATGTTTTCCGTACAATTTTTCCTAAGGAATATAGGAACAATAAATAAGAAATTCTCTCTCAATTTGTTCTTGGGATATGAGCATTTCAAACCTTATTTTTGAAGATACGAATATTTCCATGAAGCTTCTTATACTTGAGACACCTATTCATGCACTCACATTCCCACATTTAAATTCAATAATTATATTTACAACCTCAAAACCACAAAAATCAATTTTAACGAAATTTTTTTTGGTCGAAATTTTTTTTGATTGACTTTGTTTTTCTGAAAAAATTCCAACAACAATCGCAAAAATTCAGTCAACAAAATCTTCAACAACAAAATTTTCAGTCAAAAATGCATTTAACCAAAGTAGTATCACCCTTGTGACCCCAGCGAGTGCTTTTGTTTATGTGACTCTTGTCAATTGTCTTGTCAACATTTGTTTTTGTGTTTTTAGGCAGATTTCATTATTTTTTTCAAAATAAGCAAGGACTGTTTTTACATCCGGTGAAATTTCTTCTTTTCAATTCAATTTAACTGATTCATTTTTCATAAGATAGAACATTTTTTGAATCAACAATTGAAGGGAAATAAACAGTTCTACTCCAGATTTATTCTCTCCACCGAATTTCAAATTTTAATCATCTATTAACAATTTTCTGACTTGATTTGGTTCCTCAGTCATTTTTTGCTGTGATGATTCCTATATGGATTGTATTTCGTGGAGAGATGAACTGATTTCCTTATATGAATAGTCGAACAAAATGTTCACAAAGAATTCTTTTTGAAAACATGTTTTTTTTTGTTTTTAAAAATATTACGGAAACATTGGGTGGAATGGACTCTTCTGACTTCTTATTTCAATATTTATAACCAAGGAACAAATTTATCGATTGAGCTCAGTCTAAGCTTATTACAAAGGGGCCGACTGTACTTTAATTTTAAAAAAATCTATTTCATCAGCACTTCAATAAGACATCAACATTTTGGAAAGGGTTCAAAGTGTCCATTTAATCCCACCGTCTTCTACTACTTTTTCCTAAATAACCACAAAATTGTTCGCATTTCACTGTCACTTAATTTAGTGAATTTTTTTCCATGGAATGAAAACATTTTCTGTTACACTCGAAGAAAAATAAATATTTTCTTTTCGAATTTAGCTATTCACGGACATTTCATACTTGATCATGCAATATTTTCGATACATCTCCCTTTTATCGCATTCCAAACATAAACCGATAACAAATTTATCGATTGAGCTCAGTCTAAGCTTATTACAAAGGGGCCGACTGTACTTTAATTTAAAAAAAAATCTATTTCATCAGCACTTCAATAAGACATCAACATCTCCCTTTTATCACCCCACAAACAGTGCATAAACTACCTTTATGTCCGAGGTCCGCATATCAATATAGATATGGCGGGATGAAATTCGAATTTTCGACGAGAGAAAAAAAAAATAGAACACAGAGTCGATTTTCCGTTTTATTCTAATAAGTGATTTAACGTGAAGAAGAACATTTTTTGTGGTTCTCCATAACAACATCACAACCCATATTCAAATGCGCTGGTGGCAATACTTCAACGTTGGATATGAAGTACAGTTGGACCGGCGCTGCCAACGTTACAACTATCTTTTTTACTGTTAATCCAAAAAATACCATAGTTACACAGTTGAAAAGCTCATAGGCGATTTATATAATGTAACTAACGACACTTTCCCGATTTGTCGTCCCGTTTTCATTATACCGAATGTAAATCATTTAGAGGTAGAGGAGGGGGAAGTTCTGTCGTGTATAGATCCGTGGTGCTCTCGGCTTGATGTTTTACTCAGTCGGTCAAACCTGATGTTTTGCTCAATCGGTTAAAACTTTTCTTGGCCGATACGCTACCGCGTATCTCGAACGACACTTTCCCGATTTGTCGTGCTGTTTTCATTATACCGAATGTCAATCATTTAGAGGTAGTGGAGGGGGAAGTTCTGTCGTGTATTGCGCTCGTTAAATAAGAAAACGCCCCCTAGGCTCTAAGGCGCACGGGCCTCACACACACAATACAACCAAATTTTGTGTTTGTGTAGGCGCGTATATGAGCGCCTTAGAGCGACCATATTGACGAAAAACAGCGCCCTCAACGGTATTTAGCGAGTCCAATCGATACGCGGTGCTCTCAGCCTGATGTTTTGCTCAGTCGGTCAAAACTTTTCTTGGCCGATACGCTACCGCGTATCTCGATAAGAACTTCCATAATGCACAATTAATTATCGAAGTTAATCCATAATCCATCGGAAGCAGATTGGGAATAATTAATTGCTAATCCCGGGATTTAAATGGTTGAAACGGTTTGTCAAAGTCCTCTCGTCAATGAGTAAAATGTGAATTGAAAGTGGTGTAGGAAAGAGCCTCGGGGCCACTGCACAGAGAGCCCTCATTACACTCGACATTCTATATGGACAACTGGTGTGTTGGAGAGACCACTGTACTCCTACATTAGCATAATTTCACGATTCATCTAGGAAGGCACGAAGTGGGGCCATCAGCTGTTGGCACTTGGGAAAGTGGCGGTGTTTGCCGGTGGCTCTCCTCTGGTTTCTAGGGTTATGTAGACTTCTACGTGACAGGGATGTTACCAACTCAGATAACTCGACGCGCAGTTCACAACTTGCGGAAGGGATGCTTCCGGTTTTAGGGGGAGCTTGAATGACGTTGCCGAGTTCATCAAACTCATTTGGTTTCCGGGGAAAATGATTCTTATTTGAATTTTATTCCTGTGTCATGGTTCTGATTGTCTATAGACAATAAGAACCCATCAGAACTGGGCATTTTTGGTTCAATAATTTACCAGTGAAATTAAAGAGAATGAAGTTGAATTTGTTTTATTGAATAAGATTTTTTTTTTTAACTAGCGTC